ACTGCTGGTTAAAGAACCCCACCTTCTGCGGGGGGCGGGTGGGGAGGGGTCAGGGGCACGCCCACCCACCCAAAAACCCGCCACGCCCACCCAAAAACCTGCCACGCCCACCCCAGAGCAGCCACACCCACCCAAAATCCACCACACCCACCCAAAAACCCGCCACGCCCACCCAAAACCCACCACAGCCACCCAAAAACCCGTCACACCCACCCAAAATCCGCCACGCCCACCCAAAATCCACCACACCCACCCAAAAACCTGCCACACGCACCCAAAAACCCGCCACTCCCACCCAAAATCCTGCCACGCCCCCTAACAGCCCACATAACCTTTCTGACCTTGCCCATTTAAGCCCCGCCCATCACATTTGCATAGACACCACACCCATTTATGCCCTGCCCCTTCCCCATTTGCATAATCACCACACCCATTTAAGCCTCGCCCATCCATTTGCATAAACATCGCATTCACTTAAGCCCCGCCCATCCATTTGCATAAACACCACACCCAGCGAGGCCCTGCCCCTTCCCCATTTGCATAAACCTTACACCCATTTAAGCCCCGCCCCTTCTCCATTTGCATAAACCCCACACCCATTTAAGCCCCGCCCCTTCTCCATTTGAATAAACACACCCATTTAAGCCCCTCCCTGTCTCAATTTGCATAAACCCCCCACCCATGCAAGCCCCTCCCCTTTTCTTTTGCATAAACACCACACCCAGTTAGGCCCCGCCCCATCCCATTTGCATAAACACCATGCGCAGTTATGCCTCGCCCCATCTCATTTGCATAAACACCACACCCATTTAAGCCCTGCCCATCCCATTTGCATAAACACCACGCCCATTTAAGCCCCGCCCATCTCATTTTTCATAAACACCACGCCCATTTAAGCCCCGCCCGTCTCATTTGCATAAACGCCCCGCCCATTTAGGCCCCACCCCCTTTACCAGCCGATGGTTTCTCCTCATCTGCCCCCGGAGCTGCGGAGGAGCCGGGGGGGAAAGGGTTAAAAATCCCCAATTTTGGGGCTGTTCCTCAGATTTGGGGATTTTCACTCATGTTTTTTGGGGATCCTTTCCCCCATTCTGGGTTTCCCCCCAATTTTTGGGTTTTTCTCCCAATTTTTGGGTTTTTCCCCCCAATTTTTGGGTTTTTTTTCCTTCCCACCTCTGGGGTTTTTTCCCCTCCAATTTCTGGGATCCTCCCTCCTCACGTTTGAACATTTCGGGGCATTTTTGATTCATTTTTGGGTTAATTTTGATCCATTTTTGGGTTAATTTTGATCCATTTTTGGGCTGTTTCTGATCCATTTTTTGGGTATTTCCCTCCCCCATTTTTGGAGAATTTTCCCTCCCCCTAATTCGGATTTTCCCTCCCATTTTCGGGGTCCCTGATCCCATTTTCGGGGTCCCCAATCCCATTTTTGGGGTCCCTCTCCCCATTTTTGGGGTCCCCGATCCCATTTTCAGGGTCCCTCTCCCCGTTTTCGGGGTCCCCAATCCCGTTTTCGGGGTCCCCGATCCCATTTTCAGGGTCCCTCTCCCCATTTTCAGGGTCCCCAATCCCATTTTCGGGGTCCCCGTCCCCGTTTTTGGGGTCCCCAATCCCATTTTCGGGGTCCCCAATCCCATTTTCAGGGTCCCTGTCCCTGTTTTCGGGGTCCCCAATCCCATTTTCGGGGTCCCCGATCCCATTTTCGGGGTCCCCGATCCCATTTTCAGGGCCCCTCTTCCCCTTTTTGGGGTCCCCAATCCCATTTTCAGGGTCCCCAATCCCATTTTCGGGGTCCCTCTCCCCATTTTCGGGGTCCCCGTCCCCGTTTTTGGGGTCCCTGTCCCCGTACCGGCGTCAGCGCCCCGGTGAGCAGCTGCAGCAGGGTGCTCTTCCCGACCCCGTTGGGGCCCACGATGCAAACTGGGAATTCGGGAGGAATTTGGGGGATTTCGGGGGATTTCGGGGGATTTCGGGGGGTCCCCGGTCAGGGCGGGGTCCCCCTGACCCCCCGGGGGGATTTTGGGGTCACCCCCGGGATTTCGGGGCTCCCACCTCGGGATTCCATGTCGATGCCGAAGTCCAGGTTGCGGAACAGCAGCTCCTGGCCCTCGTAGCCGAAATCCACGCCTGGGTTTGGGGGAATTTGGGGTTTTGGGGGGAAATTTGGGGTTTTGGGGGGAAATTTGGGGTTTTGGGGGGAAATTTGGGGTTTTGGGGGGAAATTTGGGAGGCAAAAAGAGCCAGAATTCAACCTGAAGGCCTCAAAACC